ACTCCCCAGAGAGAAAGAAAGTGAGAAATCGCCCCCCAGGGGGATGGCCACGCTGCAGTCCCTTCTTCTCCATTCTCCTCTTGGAATTTTGGGCACGCACGCACACGCGCCCGGCGTGAATTTTAAGCACCGGGTCCGATACTCGAACCACAGTCAACCATGTGGGAGTCCCGCTATGTAGCCATTACACCATCTGCTGGTGCCCATCTTAAAAAACATTTTTTTTAAAGTTTCTCCAGGGGCCAGCAGGTGGGGAGGACGTTAAGGCACTGGATCCCCACGTAGCCAACCACAGTTTGAACCCCAGACCCAGCAACTTGAAAATCACGCCTGGAGCGTGTGTATGCATGCCCAAAATGAGAGGAGAATGGAGGAGAAGTGACTGTGGTGTGGCCACCCCTCCTGGGGATTCAGAGCAAGCAGCCGAGGTTCAGTGACGGGTACAGGTGCTTGGGCGGAGTCAGAAGGCCTGGCCCTCGGGCCAGGTCCAGGGGGAGTCAGTAGGCTCTCTCCCTTATCCTCCTCCTTCCTGTAGACAGTGGGTCCTGTGTTTGGCTCCCCAAACTTGATCAGCTGCTTGGATCTCACAGATTTTGCTGGGCAGGCAGTGGCACCTGTGGCCTCTCCCCACACCTGTGGGGGCTCCCGCCACCCGCCTCGCCCCCCCCCCCCCCCCTGGGGGGCCCCCTGCCACACTGTCCGAGTGTTTCCATGGCACTGCCGTAAGCACAGGGCTGGATGGAGGGTTATGAGCCTGGGTCAGCAGTTCATCCGAAAGGCTTTGGGACACAGAGGTCCAAGCCCACCCCCCTGGGCTGGGGACTTGGGGGAATGCGAAGCACCAAGTGGGGGCATGCCCTGGGCCCTGGGCCTGTCCTTCCCAGAGCTTTCTGCCTAGTTGTATTTATTAAATAATTGTTTGTTTTATTTTATTTATTATTATTATTACTTTATTCTTTTTTTAGAGAGAGATTTTTGCTGCAGGACGCGTGAACTCGCCAGAGAGACAGGGAGACAGAAAGAGAGAAATCACCCCCTGGGAGGATGGCCACGCCGCAATCCCTTCTCCTCCATTCTCCTCTCGGGATCTTGGGCACGCACGCACACGCACCCAGTGTGAGTTTAAGCCACCGGGTCCAGGACTCAAACCATGGTTGACTACATGGCAGTCCAGTGACATAGCCATTACGCTAACCGCTGGTCCCAACTTTATTTATATTTTTATTTTAATTCGATCAGAGAGGGACAGAGCAAGGGGGGGAGGGACTGAGAAAGCAAGCCACCAGGTCCAGGACTCAAACCACCGTCAGCCATGTGGGAGTCCAGTGCCCTTAACCACCACACCATCTGCGGCCCCACCTGGCATATTTTTCATACCTCCAGGTCCAAGACTTGAACCATGCAGTCGGCCATGTGGGACCCAGCTGCCTTAACCATCGTGCCACTCACCTGGCCCCAACTTCACTTCCTGATGAAGCCAAGATGTCCCGGTCCTGGTCGAAGTAGCCCCGGTGTGAGCAGAGGGCCCCGTGGCAGGGACAGCAGGCAGGGCTGCCCCGAGGCTCCCGGTCGCTTTCTCTCACCAGGACGACGATGCGGGCCCCTCTGAGTAGAGAGCCTCCCTCCGAATTTCCTCATCTTTCTTCCTGATGAAGCTGCTCGGCCACTTTCTGGATGTGTGGCCAGTGCCCATCAGGGCCGGGGACCTCAGCCACGTACCAGGGACAATTGCACCACGTACCTAGGGTGGTGGGAGGCCTAGGGCCAGGCCACAAGGCACATGGCGTGGTCACGCTCATGCTTGGTCTGGTCGCAGTGCGGCGCGTGGACAGCTGCCAGGAGGTCACTCCAGCCGGTGCCCAACTGGAGCCTGCTTCCTCTCTGGGGACAGACTCGAATTCCAAGGCCACGGGACAGCGCCGCGAGACACTCGGCATTTCGGGTGCATTCCTCGAGCTCTTTGCACGGAATGGGCACCCAGTAAACAGAGCAAACCCATCTCACAGCCGAAAGGGTGGGTGGGGGATTGAACCCAACCCCACTGAGTCCCAACACTTTTTATTTATTTATTTTTATTGCGGTCTGAAAACAGCCACTCTGTTTATTTACTGACCAGATTACAAAAAGAATCAAGGTCAAGATGCAGCTGAATGCCTCACAAGTTACCTCCACCCCGAGCCCTCCCGGTGTGCTCAAAGGAGTGGCTCGAATAAAACAGGGGTGTCCAGGTGGCCCCCTGCCTCTGGCTCTGGTGCCGAGTGACTTGGGCTGCAGTCCTTCTGTTCCCAAGTCTGTGTGTTTGTTGAGAAGGGGTGGGCGACTTCACATGAGCACGGTCCTTGACATTCAGTTAGTACTAATGCATGCAGCTATTAGGACCTTCCTCCTCATGTCACGCAAGTGGAAGCTGAGGCTTAAAGTTAGAACTTTTTTTTTTTTTTTGAGAGATTTTCACTGTAGGGCGCGTGCGCTCGCCAGACAGAGAGAGACATAGAGACAGAAAGCGAGAAATCACCCCCCAGGGGGGATGGTCACGCCGCAATCCCTTCTCCTCCTTTCTCCTCTCGGGATCTTGGGCACGCACGCACACGCGCCCAGCGTGAGTTTTAAGCCACCGGGTCCGGGACACGAACCGCGGTCGACTACGTGGGAGTCCAGCGACATAGCCATTACGCTAACTGCTGGTTCCCTAAAGTTAGAACTTTTCAGGGGCCCAAGAAAATATTTTCAAACTAGAAAAAAACGAGGCACTGTATTCATAATAGCCAAACAGTGGGAACGACCTAAATGTCGGTCAGCTGCTACGTGGATAAAGTACGGTACATCCATACAGTGGAATATTATTCACCAAGAAAAAAGGATGACACATCGACGCATGCTGTGACATGTTGGAACCCAGAGCACAGTTTGCTAAGTGAAAGAAGCCAGTACCAAAAGCCACGTATTGGGCCGGCCCCATAGTCTAGTGGTTAAGGGAGCCAGATTCTACATGGCCGACCATGGCTTGAATCCCCGTGCCGGGAGGCTTGAGAAATAGGCTGGGTATGTGTGTGTGCACCCACAATTCCACCAAGATGGAGAAATGGAAGAGAAGGGATTGCAGCCTGACTGTGCCCCTTTAGGGAGTACTTGCTGCTCATCTCTCACACACACCAATTTAAAAAAGAAGAGCCACAGAGGCCGATAGGTGGCATAGTGGTTGAGGTGCTGGGCTCTGACAAGGCTGACTGCAGTTTGAGTCCTGGACCTGGTGGTTTGAAACTCACGCTGGACAGGTATGTGTGCAGACCCAGAATCCCCAAGGGAGTATGGAAGAGAGGGGACTGTGGTGTGGCCACCCCCGCAGGGGGGAGATTTCTCACTTTCTCTCTCACGGTCTAACGAGTGCACAAGCCCGATGGCCAAACAGAACAACACAGAAAGCCACATACTTAGATTCTGTTTAGATGAAACGTCTGGAATCAGCAGATTTGCAGAGACAGAAAGTGGATTCATGGTCGCCAGGGCCCGGGAGTGGAGGGGATGGCGAGTTCGGAGGGGTCTAAGTAAGGCTGTGCGGTTTCCTCGGGGTGAGAATGCTCTAAACGTGCTCCTGGCGATGGCGCCGGGCTCTGCGAATGTAAGAAGGCTCTTGGGTTGTTCGCTGTCTTTTGTGTACCGAGCACGTGTGTGTGTGTGTGTGTGTGTGTGTGTGTGTGTGCACACGGGCGAGCAGGAGAGAGGAAGTGCCCTGACAGGGCCCTGTCCCACCCCAGTCCTCCAGATCCTCAGGCTCTTAGGCGTCTGGGGTTTGACCCAGGGATCTGAACCCTGGGTCGGCCACATGGTCTCCGGCCTTGCAGGACACTGTGCAGTGACATTGAAAGGGTCGTTTTCAGAGGGCGACTTGAGGACATGGAATACCCCCTGGGCACCTGCCTCAGCCTGAGCACAGGGGTTAAGCAATGCCCCAAGAGCCGGAGAGGAGCAGCCTTCTGCCCAGGGTCATGCAGCCCCGAGGCTCCGAGGGTCTCTACCCCACCAAGGCAAGCGTGCGTGAGGCTCCAACCCCAGCCCCATCTGACCCCTGGCTGCCTCCTCTTTCTGACGAGGACATGGAATACCCCCTGGGCACCTGCCTCAGCCTGAGCACAGGGGTTAAGCAATGCCCCAAGAGCCGGAGAGGAGCAGCCTTCTGCCCAGGGTCATGCAGCCCCGAGGCTCCGAGGGTCTCTACCCCACCAAGGCAAGCGTGCGTGAGGCTCCAACCCCAGCCCCATCTGACCCCTGGCTGCCTCCTCTTTCTGACTTCTCAGGCAAAAAAAAAAAAAAAACACAAAAAAAA